GGAGAGCACCTCGTAAAGATCCACCCAAAAGGTTGTCAGGTGATATGAAGCAGCATGAGCCTACGCGTATTCCAGCGAGTGGAAAGAAAAAATTTCCTACGAGAGCCTGCAGAGTTTGTGCCGCCCAAGGAAAAAGGAGCGAATCCAGATACTTATATAAATTTTGTTTGGTCCCTCTTCATAGAGGAAAATGTTTTATGCAGTACCATATGTTTAAAAAAGTACTAGGAACTTTAATTGTTTAATTAGTTGTTTAATTGTTTAATTGTTTTTGTAACAATACCTACAGTGCATTGTGATCTGTAGTTATGATGATTTAAATAACGTGCAGTTTGCCCAAAAACGTGCAGTCCCTGGCGTTTGTCTTAGAGATTTCTATGGAGTCCAAAAGGTGTTTAAGACCTTCAGATTGGGGATTATGTTTTAACATATGAATTTGGGGGAGACACAAACATTCAGGACACAGCACATTGCTTAACTAAAATCTCTGTTTTGATTTCTAATAATCCCCTTCAACTTGAAATACCTAGCCATAAGTCTTTATTTTTACCACCTCTTACCCCAAATCTGCTCCTCTTTTGTCTTTTCCATTCCAGAAAATGGAAAGATTATTAGCACAGTTGTACAGCCCCCAATCTCAAAATCAGCTTTAATTATGCCCTTTCTTTCACTTCTACATCTAGTCTATCAGCAAGCTTTGCTGGCTCTAACTTCAAAATATATCCAGAATCTGACAAATTCTTGCATCTCCATTGCTACTTCTCTAGTCCAAGCCACCATCATCTCTCACCAGGATGACTAAAGGAGCCTCCTATCTGGTCTGCCTATTCCACCTTTACTGCTTTTCTCTAAAGCATTCTTCACACAACAGCCAGTGTGATCTTTCTGGTACGTAAACCATTTCATCCTACTCTTCTATGAGAGCTTATCACATTTGGAATAAAATATAAAGATCTAATCACAGCCTTCAAGGCACCTCATATTCTACCTTTCTGTCTCCATCAACTGCTTATTTACCCTATTCATATTCTTCCTTAGCCACAATACCAGTATCTTTGACCTTTTTATTAATCCTCAAACATACTAAGTGTTCTCATATCAAGCCTTTGTATTCAAGTTTTCCTTTGTCTAGAGTATGTATCTAGACCATCTTTGTTATGGGGCTCACTTCCTTCAGGTCCCTATTCAAATGTATTTCCTAAGATTACAATATCTAACATAGTCCACTACCCCCAGTCACTCTCTGTAATAGATAATCAATTCTGCCACCAGAAGGTAGAGTCTATATCCCTACCCTTGAGTCTGTGCTGGTCTGGATGGCCTGCTTTGGCCAATAAAATGCAGAAGAGGTTGCAGTGTGCCAGCTCCAGGACACTTTGCAGCTTCCACTTTGGTTTTCTCTTGAGAAGTCAGCTGTCATGCTGCAAAGATCAAGTCAGTCTACTGAACGGTGAGATAGATACCACAGAGAGGGACAGAGGACACATGGAGAAGCCTTGAAGCATCAAATGTATGAATGACTTCTTAGGTTTTTCAGCCTAGTCCAGTGCCAGCTGAATGCCAACAAGGATTGGCCTCAGCAGACACCACTGTGGCAGAAGAACCATCCAGCTGAGCCCTCCCCAAATTTCCGACCCACAGAATTGTGAAAAATAATGTCATTGTTTAAAGCCACTCAATTTTGGAATAGTTTGCTACATGGCAATAGAAAACTGAAATAACTCTCTAACTCCTCATTTTGTTTATTTTTTATAGCATTTATCTCAAAAGAAATTACACAATTATTAGTTTATTCATCCACTGCTTATTATCTGTTTCCCCCTCCAGAATATAAACTCTGTGAGGAAAAGGACTTTGTCTTGTTCACCATATTCTCAGTGCTTGGAACAATGCCTGGACTATTTCAGGACTCAATAAATATTTGTTGAATAAATTAACATACCAAGAATCCTAATATGAGCCTTCATTTTCCACCAAAAGAGTCATATTTAATACTCATGAAAACATTTTTCTTTAAATCCCAGCATCCAATTCCATTTGCCTTTTAAATAAGAACACTCTATCAGGTTGCTAGAAAATAGTAGACATTTCTTTTAAATCCAGAAAATACTTCCGTTCGAGATCCGCAGTGCATTTTAAGATGACTTGGGCATTGTTACCATTCACCGAAGAGCACAGAGCAATCCTGTGGGTAGGTTAATGACAAAGTACCACTTAGTCCCCTATCTTCCCAGGATAGATTTCTAGTGCCGCCCAGCCCCTCCCATTTAAGTACATACAAGTCCCCACTTTTAGGATAGAACATCCAAGCAGGGCCTGATAGTTCCTTATTAATTCCTGAGATCCCACCAATTTTTCCATCAGGGCAACACAAGAACAGCCCCCTCTTTTATTAGTCATGGAAGAAGATCATTTTCTAGTATTTTTCCTCCCTGACTCACTAGCCCTCACCATGCATGAGGCATCGGACGCTGCCACATTGGGAATGCCTTTCTCTGAAATAGGTTTACTGCGATTTCTTTCATGCCTGATTGGAACACAGAGTCATAATTAGAACGAGGCTGCTCTCCCAGATCATTGCTCTGATGGTTCTAAATTGCTTCACACAGTCCCATTTTCTTTCTAAACGAACAGGACCTTTGCCTTTCTGATTGTAGACATGTGAGATTGATCACTGGGTCCCTGACACTTCCCTTTGACTAACATTTTCCCTGGTGTTTTCAGGTGTTCTGCCCTATACATTTCATTTTGGAAGCCACAGTGCTGTGTTGCAATTTAATTTTTCTAAATTTAGTCTTAGAAGGCTCACGGCCAATGGGAGGGATTACAGCTTACCTGGAATCCACATTTAAGCAAAGGAAAGTCCTCTCTGGGGATCTGGATTTATTTACGGAGTTTGAGGACTCAAAAGAAGACCAAATAGACTTAGCAGCCACACTTCCCTACTTCAATTTAACAGTCTCTTAAGCACAAAATCAAACACAATACAAATAAAGTGGCTCGAGTCTTTCCTGAGTGTCTTACCTGAACTTCTGCTGTTTTCTGTCTCGCTGTCCCCTAGATGTCCCCAAAGACCCCATGCAATCTTTGGCAAAGACCTGTAGCTTTTAAAGCAGAGTCACATCTGCTAACATGATTCCTGATAGAGCAGGAACAATCTGGCAATGCCGAAAGTAGAACTGCCAAAAGATCAGATCTGCGAAGCTCTCCATTAGAAAAGGTACTAATTGTATGTAGTGCCTTTCAGAAACCCTGATAATTGCCTAACGCTGTATTTGGCATTATGAGAAATAAAGAAACAGACCGATTTTATATTTCACTCTTTGCTAAGAAGGAAGTTGAAGAGAAGCCACAATATAGTATAGGAATTCAGAGCGCGCAGTATGGAACTAAACTGGCTGTGTTCAAATCCTGTTAGGACAGTTAGACTCTCTGTTTCTCACTTTCCTCATCCGTAAACTGGACACAATAGGAGTAGCTACCTCATAGGGTTATTGTGGGGATTTAAATGAGTTCATAAATGGAAATAGGAGAGGGTCTGGCATGTAATTAGTGCTTTCTAGTTTATATAGATAGGGATGATGGAGACATGTGCATATATATGGCTAAGTAATAGGCCAGTCAATGTAGAAAATGCCTATCACAGGGAGGAGCACATGTAGAATTCAGAGGTGAGACACATTGTCTGCAGCTAGAGGGAACCAGGAAGGCTTCCTGGAAGATGTATGAGTGGCAAAGACAACAGTGCTCACTAAATATGTATCATACTTGCTTTGCCTACTTCCCAACTCCCTTGCAATTAGACCTGGGCACGTGACTTCTGGCCAGTGGGATATGTACAAAAGTGCTGGGCTCATTTGGTCTCTCTCCTGCTGCAGTGAATAAGAAGGACATTTATCCCAGATATTGCAGCTACAGATGGTAGAAAGGCCATCAGCCTGGGCACCTGAGTGTCGGTGTGGAGCAGAGACACATTCCTCCCACCCAAACATACACATACGACCCTACAATGGATGTGTAGCATAAGCAAAATATAAACCTATCATGTGCTAAGTCACTGGGAATTTAGTCTTGACTTGTCACTATAGAATAAACTTAATAAACTTGCCTGTCCTAAGGTGTGCGTGTATGTGTGTGTGTATATATATATATGTATATGTGTGTGTGTAATATATATATATGATGGTGGTGGAACAGCCCCAAAAAAGAATAGAAGAAGGACAAAGTATGGCATATTGAACAAATATTTGTTTGATTAGAAAGGAAATCTAGGGTCAGATCCTGGAGGACCCTAAATTCCAGACTAAAGAGTTTAGACTTTATTGGATAAGGCAACAGGAAACCATTAAGTATGTGTTTCTGGGAATAATTACACCAAGCAAGTAGTACCAGTGAGAGCCCTTTGAAGAGCAAGAGCCTTTCATCCTTGGGTACTTCCCTGAGTCAGAGGGTCCTTCCACCCCCCCAAGGCATCTCAGGACAATAGAAGTTTGTTTTGTGAGTGAGTACCAGAAAGAGTTGGATTTTATGATCTGTAAGACAGAAATTTCTTATCATGATTTCTAACCCATCTCTATAAACTTTCCCTGTCTAGAGCAGCAGAAGCCCCTTGGTTTGTTGTTGAAACTGGAATGTTGTTTCAGCAAGGCAGCTTGCAGGAAGAATAACCAAGCACCTTTCATGCTTCCCTTCATTAAGTGGGGGTGGGGGGGGGCTTTGCTGAGTAGGCATTTTTTGAAAGTGGGAAAGGCCTTTAAATACCTCCACAACCAAAATTAAAACTGAAAGGTAAAATTATTTGTGCCCAAAGTGGAAAAAAAATCAGTTGCCTAAGAAAACCAAGAATCATCGTTTTTGCATTGCTTTTCCAGCAATATTAAAGTCCATTACATTGGTGAAGGTAATCCTAGTGGCTATCACAAACAAACTTAAAACTGTGCAATGGCTGAAACACGATAGACATTTATTTCTTACACGAAATCCCCAAATGGTGTTTCTGATTAGTAAGTGGCTTCCCTCCATGTGATGATTCAGGGGCCCAGGCTCTTTCTGTCTTGTGGCTTTGCCAACTTCCAGGTGCAATTTCCAAGGTCACCGTGCCTATCTGCACCCAGCCAGCAGAAGGGAAAGGGAATGGAGGGTCGTGCACGGAGGTTTCGTGGGTCAGGTCTGGAACTGGCGCACACCATTTCTGTGCACCCTGCACCGGCCAGAACCCAGTTACAGCTTCTCCTCCTGCTGAAAAAGACACAGGAAAGTGTCATTTGTCTGTGTGTCCAGGAAGGCGAGGAAAGGCGTTCAGGGGAATAACAGCAGGCTCTGCCACACCTGGTATTGTTCCCAGGTACCTTTCTTCTCAGCACATGTCTATTAAAAGAACGACGGTACACTTCCGGTTTCTTGTTCTCTCGATAGACACTGATTGAGCACCTGCTCTGTCCAAAGTGCATGCTTGGCGACTGGAGTGGGAGACAGAGACAGAGAGACAGTCTCGAGTTCATAATCTAGCAGGAAAAAACTACATTTACATAAACACTAGAGATAAAACATAAAGCAGAAAGTGACGAGAGCTCCAAGAGAGGCTCAGATGAGACTTTTTGGACGCTCAGAAGAGGGGATACACGGAGGACCCTATGACGGAAGCAGCATGTTACAGGAGACCGCGGGCAGGAGCACGGACACGGGGCATCAGCGAGTGTTTGTGGCAGGAAGTCCGAGATTCCCTCTGACTATAGTGAAGGACGCAAGAAGAGAAGACGGACGATTCAAGTTGGAAAAGGGCGGTGGGGTCCAGTCCCTCAGACTCTCCCTAATCACATCTGCTGTGCATTTCTGAGAGAGGCTATTCAATCACCCATCTCCACAGTTTCTATTTTTTCCCATCTATTTTTCATTAAGCAGGTATCCCGCTCCCTTTCCACTTCAAATAATTATAAAGATGATTATGGAAATGATAGTGGTGGTGGCACTAATGACTAGGAAGGAGAAAAGATTTTGTAAAATTTCCTCATCTCCTCAGAAATCTTTCTGCCTCACTCTGAGAAGAATCCTTGACACCATCACTCATGACTCGCTGAGGGCCGGTTTCCGCTCCCCGGGAGCCCACGCGAGGAAAAGTGCCACAGACTATGGACTGCTTTTGAGACTCAGCAGAGCAGGGCCACTTGGCAATCGGTTTAGAAAACAGAGAAGTCACAGCACAGCTCAGAATGGGCCCAAAAATCTTCCCCAGACCATGGGACTAAAACCCTGGTGTTGAGGCTGTATTTCCCTACCCCTGGCCTTTCCAAAAGCACCAGGGGACAAGAGCGACAGCGCTATGTGGATGAGCGTAGCGACTCTTCATGTCAGTTAGGCAGCAGAGAGCTAAATGCACGACGCTGCAGCAACCTGGCAAATGAAATTTAGCAATAGTTGGAGATCATTTCAGTCGACCATAAATGTCACCTAAAATGGGGGTGTGTGCCACCACCTAGCCCGTTCCACGGAGCTCACCCACTTCTCTTGCTCTTTGTCTTCCTTACCGTCTGGACCCATTTCAGCTCCCGGACACATTGGCGAGTGACAGGAAGACACCTCTGCCCTGTGAAGACCACGACAGCTTCTGTATCAGTTTCCTTGCTGCAACAACTCACCATAAACTCGGTGGCTGAAAAACGACAGAAATTTATTATTCTCTCACAGTTCTGGAAGAGCATTCTAAGCAGAGGGGCCTCGAGGCGGGAGGGTGTGTGCCTGGCCAGTGTGCCAGGAGCAGAGACAGCAAGAACAAGAGCAGCAGGAGCTGAGATGAGAGTCCCGGACTACCCAGTCATGGTCAGGTTCACATATTGGCAGTGACATGGAGTCAGAGAGTTCAGGAAGAAATAGAAGGAGTCAATGCCAAACTTTTGTCTTTTATGCATATTTACGCTCTGTTGGAATTCCTAGGCAGCCTCCGGAACCAGCTTGTGCTCACTTTCCCTGATTCTGCCCCCACCCCCCTCCCCAACTCTCTCCTTCCTCTCTACCTGCACCATCTCCATACAGTACTGATCTTAACATTTTTATGCCACCTCCTTCCAATGTATGTATCTCTAGAAAAGCACCTAGCACGTTGCTTTGCACACAGAAAGTTCCAAAGGGCGTTCCCCTTCTTTATTCCTTAATATCCTTACCACAACTTTAGGAATTTTCACTGCAAATCAAATTTGAACTGAGTTTTTAGAGAAGCCCTAGTTTATGTGCAAAGACATAAAGATGTAATAGAATCCTTTCAAAGAGCTCTCTTGCTAATGCTAAATCGCAGGGAACAATGAGTTGCCTGACATTTTCAGATTCCCAGACCAGAGATAGGGTATGATGGAGGGAAGAAAAGGGGTAAGTTTTATAAAGGTTCTTTGATCCTATCCTTCTTCCAGACTCTATCTTTATTCATGGGGCCAAAGGAAGGAATTCGTTTAGAGTAGATTTTGTGGATGTGCTCACTCAGGTACAGGTGTCCTGAGTCTTTTTCAAGTCAAGCGTTAAAGATAAAAACAAATATACCTGCCCTGTATAGGATCTAAAGAACTCTAAAGAGCTCCAGCATGACACAGGAAAGTTTGTGTGTGTGTGTGTGTGTGTGTGTGTGTGTGTGTGTGTGTGTAGAGAGAGAGAGAGCTAGAGCTGGTGTATGTTGGAGACAGGGCAAAGGGTGTCGGATCCCATTAACATAAGGAAGTTTAATAGGCATTTGACTGCTTAGCCAAATATACAAGTAGTTCCTAAAGAATTACATCATTATATGGGAAGGGGGTTGTTTGCAAGTGGAATAATACTTCAGGCTAGGAGAAGGTTTTAGCACCTGCTTTAATCAACCTTACAACCATTTTTATGAATATTTACACTTACAGAAGTTTGAGTAGTTTTCTTGAGTTCCTTCCCTTTGCTTATAGTTTGGAATTTTTCCATGTTGTTGGACGCAAATAAATGCAGCTGTTTGCTCTGCGAGGGCTATGGAAAACATATATTTATGCTGCATTTGTAATACAGAGAATGTTCAATTGAGACTGCATTTGGCTTCTTGCCTTATGTTTCAACTTTTCTTTTTAATAACATAAGGTCCTTCATTCATGCAGATGATGCTATTGACTCATCAGCGTGGTATAGTGAAAGAACAGGGGTCTGGGCATAAACACAACCGAGTTTTAGTTCTGCTTCGTCAGTAATGACCTTCCTGGATGTGGCAGATTATATTTTCCAAGATGGCCCAAAATCTCACGTTCCATGGGTTCCTTTACAACGTGACCTTGACACTCTCCCATCAAGAGGAGGAGTCTCTGTCCCCTTCTCCAAAACCCAAAAGGGCTGTGACTTCCTTGTAACCAGTGGAATGTGACAGAAGTGACCATGCCTGACTTCTGAGGTTGGACCTTAAAGCAAAGCTTCTGCTTTGCTCACTGGAGCATTCGCACTAGGAGCTGTGCCACCACGTAAGAAGTTGGACTACCCTGGGCTGCCATGCTGCGAGGGAGCTCGGTGGCATGGCGTAGCCACATGCAGGCGCTCAGCCAACAGTCCTAGTCTTCGAGTTCTCCCAGCCTGGGGGCCAGACATACGATTGAAGAAGCCTTCAGATGAGCCGAAGTCCCAAGCACAGACTCACTCCCAACCTTCATGTGTTCCCAGCTCAGACCCAGACAAAGCAGAGACAAGCTGTCCCTGCTGTGCCCTCTCTGAATCCTTGGCCCGCAGAATCTGAGCATATAACAGCATGGTTATTCTGTGCTGCTAAGTTTGGAAGCAGTAGGAATAGAATCAGCAGCAACAGGAACAGAAAAAACTGGGACAGAAGAGTGGAACCTAGAAGCAGGAGGCTGCTGTGACAGAAAACTAAACCAGGTAGCATTAGCACTGAGACCCGGTGGCAGGTGGCTTCTGGAAGCCCCTTATGAGGGGGTAGGAAGGGCAAAGCTGGAAGGACCTCAAGGAGAGTGTGACAGGGGGCTTAAAGGAAACTGGTTTAAAGGAAAATGTTATCAGAGGCTGAACAAAGGGAGAGCCTTGCTATGTGGTGGAATGAAGTTCAGCAAAATTATTTCCTATGACAATGCATAAAATAGAAAACATATCTATTAAACTTGATTTCCAGGCAGCGTGTTGAGGGTGATGACTAAGTTGCTTCAGTTGCCTACACCAAAATCAAAGAGGAGTGAGAGAAACTAAACAATGAACTCTTAAGTTTTCAAGTGTCATCTGGAGCACATACAAATGTCTAAGAATAGTCTTTTCAGCCACGAAAGGGTCCCAAATAAAGAAGTACGTTCTGGGGAAAAATATTAGGTCGTTAAATATGAAATGTCCAATTTCTAATAAAAAATATAGTTTATTATATCCCAAACAAGAAGCAGTACAATTAATCAAAGTATGTGCCTAAACTATTGACACAGTTTTGCCATCTTAATGGTAGCTTGTTTATACCAGCAGCAAAGAAGCCTGGAGAGCGAGTGGTGATGAAATCATTAAAGGCCTTTTCCACAGCTTGTTGAGAATTGAATATTTTTCCTTCCAAGAAGTGGTCCAAAGCCTGGAAGAAGTGGTAGTTAGTTGGTACAAGGTCTGGTGAATATGGTGGATGACAGAGAATTTCCAAATCTAGCTTCTGTAGTTTGAGCGGTGTTGTTTTTTTGCAACATGTGGGCTTACAAGAGGATTGGCCTGTCTCCACTGACCAATCTCAGCTGCTTAATCACAAGCAGCCTCATCATTTCATCCAGTTGGTGCAGTAGCCATCTGCTGTAATCAATTGACCAGGTTTCATGAAGCTGTAGTGATTAATACCAGCGCTGGACCACCAAACAGATACCATTAGCTTTTCTGGATGAATATTCAGTTTTAGACTGTGTTTCTGTACTTCATCTTTATCCAATGGTTGTGCTGAACACCTGAGATTGTCAAACAGAATACGTTTTCATCACATGTACCAATACGGTGTAGAGATGGTTCACATTTATGTTGTGACAGCAAAGAAAGGCAAGTTTCAAGACAATTTCTCTTCTGATACCCATTTAATTCATGCAGTACCCATCTATCAAGCTTCTTCACCTTGCTGATTTGTTTCAAATGGTCCAGTATCATTGGAATAGTAGTGTCAAACCTTGCTCCTAATTCATGTGTAGGTTGAGATGGATTCGCTTCCACTACAACTTTCAGCTCATCCGTTATCCACCTTGGCCTCAGGTCACCCACATGGCTCATTTTCAAGATTAAAATCACCAGAATGAAACTTCTCAAACCATCGATGTACTGTGCATTCTTTAGCCACCTTCTTCCCAAACACCTCACTGGTATTTTGAGCTGTCTGTGCTGCATTGGTTCCATGACTGAACTCATACTAAAAAATAACACAAATGTTTGACTTATCTTTGGTGTCACAAAAATTGCTCTACCAAAAAAAAAAAAAAATTGAAAGATAATCACAAGCCAAAATGTGCATTTGAAAGAATGAGGATGTGCCTTCACAATAAGAAAAAACAAAACAAAAATAAGAAGTGTCAAAGGGAAATGTCAAAGAAAGCAACTATCCAGCTTAGCACATGCCATAATGCAGGATGGGGCTGTAAGTTCCTCTGCTAAAATAACAGACAGATTTTAGGTGCTACGATGGAGAATCTTCCAGGAAGATAAAAGTCCTTCTAAGGATCTTCAGTGTGTGCCTTGTCGATCTCCTTCATGAAACAACAAGCCTTCAAAGGATCTTGTCCCACAATAGTCACACAAAGACCCAAAACAGAGAAGGGCCTGACTCAAAGAGATCTGTAGCTGCCGTTTTTTGTCTAATAAAGTGAATTGTATATTGATACACAGTAACAAGCACGAAGATCTTTTAAAAGAAATTATGTCAGTTTTGACTGAGAGGAACAGAGACAGTATAAAATGAAAGAGGAGGCCTTTTGACCTCTCTAATCTCTGAAGGGCAAGAAGTAGGTATTCAGTTGCATACAAAAGAACTCCTGGCCTCAAGCATTCCTCTCACCTTGGCCTTCCAAAGTGCTAGGATTACAGGTGTGACCTGCCATCAAGTCATTTCGTATGGAAAAGGAAGGATAACTCAGAGGGTAGAACCAAGAGATGCAGAGAAAAACTCCCAGGGAATAGGACTGAGTCCTCAGCTGAGCCCACATTTCAGACTTGCCATGGACCAGTGACGAAATGCCTTCTGCCTTCCTTACCTTTGAGCAAGAGTGTTGGCAGCAGTTGTCGGATCCATGCCTGTCCTACAGCTGTACGCTGTGGTATGGGGGACGGATAACTCATCTCTTTAGTTCATAGATCTACAGATCAAAAGGAATGGTACTTGGGGAAATTGACCCAAAACTCTATACGTGAGAAGCCTCAGCCACACTTGGACAAGATTTAGATGATGAGACCCTGGACTTACAACTGATGTGGTAATGGGATGAGACTTTGAGTGTCTTAGGAGAGGGGTGATTCATTTTGTGTGTGCGGTGGGTATTGTAGCCAGGAAGTGTGGCCACCATGGTAGCTTGTATTTTCTAAAGATACAACAATTTCCTCAACAATTCCTCCATCTCTCGAGCTCCACTGAAATGTAAACTTGCTAGTCTTCTCTTCAAGAAGTGGACACGTTTTTGACTCACTCATAACAACAGCAAAAAAAACAAA